TATATATACATGCATACATAAACAACCTGTTAACGTAATTAATATAAAAATTCAGTGTAATTAAACTAAACATTAGTTTAAAAAAAATGCAAATAAAAAATAAAAATGATAAAGAATAATAAAACGGCTTATTCTTATAATTATTGAACAATTTTTGATTAGATGTTTTAAATGCTAGTGTGCACGCTTAACATAAAAATGCATTTACATTACATGCATATTTTTCCTTTTTTTTATTTCTTTTTAATTATTAACTAAACTAAAGTTTAGATGAAAAATCATAAATGAGAATTTTCGTCAAAAATTAATTTATTAATCGCTGTGTTGTTACGTTAACACAACCAAATGCATTATTATTATTATTATTATTATTATTATTATTATTATTATTATTATTATTATTATTATTATTATTAATATTATTATTATTATCACCATCATCGTCACTCCTAATCATCATCATCATCAATCCACTTGTGGACTTGTACTCGAAATTGTTCTCTGTGTGTTATAATAAAAAAAAAAAAAAAAGAAAAAAATAATAAGAAAGAAGTTCATCGATACATAATAGATAGATTATTTTCAATGTATAATTAAACTGCCCTATGTAATATATAAAATTTAATTTAACGACCAACCGTATGGAATAAATTTAAATATTCGAATTAATCATATGTTTGTATTATATATCATATTTCACACATTTATTTATATTTTTTATTATTTTCATATTTTTGGTTTGATTTACAATAGCTCCATACGATAACACACTTACTTATGTACTTACTTAAATACTCCATACTTATGTATTGAATTTTATTGCTTCCATAGTTTATAATTCTGATAGATCCCTATAACTAATTTAAAAAATTGTTGACAAGGTTTGATGGAGCTATTGTTAGAGAAAACGATTTTCTATCACGTCTTAAATTAAAAAATTTTTAAATCTTAAATTATAGAAAATAAATGATATATAGAAATTTTATTTAATGAATTATGTTAGTTTTAATCACTTATTTTTTATACGTACGATTTATTTTGTAATACTTTACATATTTTTCAAAACAATTGTGTTTCTCTGGTCCGCTGAGGAATGAAGTGCCGGGTTTTTCAATTCTATGCATGTATTATAAATATATATATTATATATGTAATATATTAATTAATATTAATGAACCAGTTAGTTGTGGCAACCTCTTTGCAAATGTGTACCTAAATTGTATCGTCTAGAGTACGTATAGCATACTCTGTTTTATTTTTTTATCAAATTAATCATTTTATTACTGACATTTATTAAATAACTCACTTGCGCTGGTAAAAACAATTCACCGACGCATGCCATGCACGTTTTTTCACCGCAAGTGGTTAATTTAATCAAATAATTCGCATATGAAAGCAAAAAATCAATTACTTAAAAAAATGATCAGTTATGAATTGAATCTGCTGTTTTGTGTTGAATGATATTTAGTAAAGAACAATATAAAAGTACAATACAAAATGATACTTCACAAATTAAATACTAATATTTTCTTTCTTTCTATCCGAATATTATTTTCATAAACAATGTAAAAACATTTTCGTGTAGGATTATTTTTTAAAGACATGGTTGTGTGGTATATAAATCTAGAAAATGTTTCTAGATTAGACGTGCAGTGTTAGGTTTAATTGGCCGAGTTTGTTCTACTTTGTTCACACTATATACAATATTTTCATAATAATTATTTATATTTTTGGTTCCGTTTTATTTTATCTTTGTCTCCATATATTTGAAACATCTTGAAATTGACGAATGTATTTTAGTTTTCACTAAAATTACAATTTATATATATATAAATAACAAATGGTTACTGCCTTTTCCACATGGCGAGTATACTCGTCAATCACAACTAACTGATTAATATCAACCCTTTGCTCCAGAACCAGTTTTTTATTTAAATACAAATAATTTTTAGTTTATAATTTAGCAAATTAAATCTTTCCAGAATAATATTACGTAAAGTATAGGTAATATGAATGAAAAACTTTCGAGTGCAAAAGGTTAATATAATATTATAAGATATATATACACAATAATTATTGGTATGTGATAGAAATACGTTGAAGAAAATTGTTTGAATCTCTATAATACTATTTCCTACATCTCACTATTTAATTCAATGCAATAAAAACTATAATAATTCTATAATAAGAATATTAACGTTAATTAAACGTACGGAATTTTTAAAAATCTTTCAACTCTAAATTGTTAATGCGAAAAATGAAACTTTTAAGGTAATAGGACATACGCGATAAAAATGATTTAATAGATATACGTATAATATAATATATTATTTTGCCACTTTTTTATTTTTTTTTTTTTCCGTAATTTGTCGGTGGAAATTTTATTTTATTTCATTCTTTTTTTATTTCATTCATACATCATTTTGCAATTCATGTTAACGATCTTGAATAAATTTAAATTTTAACTGTGTAAGTGTGTTTATGTGTGTT